TCGCACTATTTTTTATAATTCTGGCCACATAATTTTTTAAGTACAAGCCCTGATGAAGCCCTAAACTTTTGGGCGAAACGTTGGCAAAGACTTGACAGGCCTTTTATTTCTTGTCCTAACCGACGAATTACCCCCTTCATTGGATATAGGACATGAACTTCGCTTTATCATTTACTATTTTATTAGAAGAAATATTGGCCAACAACCCATATGACGATGCATCTATATAGGCTTTTGTAATAGCCAATTTTGTAAATCCCACAGGGAAAATTAATGAATTTTGGGTACTAGGAAATTAAAACAAAGTACAAAACGTATATAAACACAATGATAAACACAAACCATTAAAGAAAGGTTATGTTTGTCGAATTCGACTTAACGTTAACGTTAAGCGGATTGAACGAAAACTATTTTTACGATCTGTCAAATAGCGACTTTGTTTTCGTATTCGTTATGGTTAACCGTTCGAATTTGGCAATACAACGAAAACTCTCTAATGACAATAATTTCCGCGATTGACCATATTAGTTAGGTTAGGAAAAATCGGGCGCGAAATTTAAAATGGGTTCCTAAACACATTTCAACAAATTTGACAGCAATGTATTTCTTATGGGGGATTCAAAAGAGTGATTTTCAGACGGGAATATCTTGGGTTCTGGGCATTTCTTAGTATTGGAACCTATTGTACATCAAACTTTGAACATATTTCTCTATAATTCATGCTCTAATTGTTTTTTTAGACCTATGAATTAAAAATACAAATGATTTTAATTAAAAGTGCCGGTTTTCGGTGGACGTACGTCGGGTCTAAAACCAGCTGAGAGAAAGTCAGGTTGTGTGTTGTGTTATGATTGTTGGTGATTTGTTTATTTAATTATATATCACTAGTTCAGTCATTTATTTTTAAATTTTTTTGGATTATTGAAGTACATTTACTAACCAAGTATGTAGGTAAACTTTTATTTTATTATAATTAGGTACTCATATATACTTATGGATCAAGCAACGACATACGTATTTTATATAAACATCGGCTTCTTAAATTCGTAATATTTTTATTTTAACAATGTTTATTCAACTTTCAAACACTTTCTCAGTTAATTAACATATTAAAAAAACTATTTATACAACTCAATTCCGTAACAAACGTTTTATCACGTCTACAGGCGCTTTTAAAATTGAGTCCCCATAAGACATCAATGTATTAATTTTTGAACTAGGAACCCGCGCCAATTTGCGATTCTAACCTAACTAATATGATGAATTATGACACCAGCGAAAGTCTCATTGAAGAACTTCTGGCATCATCTATCAGTGTTTGCTTCAATACCAAAGAAATCTGTTCTAAATGATTTGCATAGGAACCTACATTTTTTGTAATAAAACTATGAAAAAATATTCTTTGTGTATAATTCAACATCCAAAGTCACAACTTTTATTATGAGTTGAAGTCTATGTAGCGCTGATTTATATCATAAAGTTTCCAGTAATACATGCTAAATCTTCAGTATCAATAGAAAATGCAGGTATATTTTTAAGAAAGTCAGGATGACTTGACTATTAATGCAGGATGATGTTATCTTAAGCTCTCAATGGAATTAAGATAGGCTCAAGGTACTTTGAGAATTTCAACTGCAACAGGTCTTCATAGTAAAGACTCATAACTTACCTCATATCCGAAGTTCCAGCTACTTCATAATAAAGAAGTTGCAGTCATATTTAATATTTATAGCTAAGTTTTTTCAGTGTACCTATTATATTAAAATCTGCACAGAGTAAATTAATCAATAAAATATACAGTGAGCACGTGAAGGTTGGAATAAAATCCACGAATAAAATCCACGCCGATTTTTGATTTCAGTGGCCATTTTTTAGATGAAAATTTTATGTATACAGGGTGACCCAAAAACAAGTTATGACAGCTAACTTTATTTTTTTAAATGAAAACACACAATTTTTTATTTCATTTTCAAATTCTACATCAAATTCTGAACCTTTTTTATGCATCATGTCTTATACTTATCTTCAACTGTTTCGGAAATATTGACAGTTGAAAATTGACTTTTTCGCAACTTTGACAGGCTGTAAAACCAGAACCAGCTTATGAAAAACTAAAAATGAGAATGTATGATCGATTTTGCTCTAGAATTAACCATTTAGGTTTTACAGCCTGTCAAAGTTGCAAAAAAGTCAATTTTCAGCTGTCAATATTTCCGAAACAGTTGAATATAGGTATAAGACGTGATACATAAGAAAGGTTCACAATTTATTGTAGAATTTGGAAATGGAATAAAAAATTGGTGTTTTCATTTAAAAAAATAAAGTTAGCTGTCATAACTTGTTTTTGGGTCACCCTGTATACATGAAATTTTCATCTAAAAAATGGCCACTAAAATCAAAAATCGACGTGTCCGAGGTTTTTTGAAAAATATCAACCCTGTATACTTTATGGATTTTATTCCAACCTTTACGAGCTCACTGTATAATAAACTACAAAAATGGAATTTTGAAATCACACATATTAATGAAATACACAATTATAGCACAAGATCAGAGGTTTATATTGTATATTATGTATATGTATAGTGTTTGGATAATTGGCAAACAGTCAAGTTAATGAGGAATTCCATTGGATTCCAGTGGGATTGCAATGGGATTCTTTAGTTTGTTTGATGTAGTAGTAGTAGTAGTAGTCTTTATTGTCCAAGAATACAAAAATCTTATTGACAAAGCTAACCCAACTTAAATTAAATTTTACAACTAAACCTAGAAGCCAGCAAGTCAACAATATCAATCAAATTAAAATTACCGTAGGCAATAATTTACAAAAATAATAAATACATTCATTTAACACAACATTTCTTGACATAGGTTTCAAATGAGTCGATGTTTTTAGTTTGTATCTATGCAGTGGCGGCCAACCTGAAAAACAATACTATTTTGCCCAGAGTCTCTGCTTGCTAGCGTTCAAAATAATTCTAATTATTCACAAGAAATTTTCAGAATTATTTTCAGCGCTAGCAAGCAGTTCAGCCGACACTACATTGGTATCGGGTCTTCAAAAAAGAAACCAATCGAAGATTGCTTTGATTACGAAAATGTACGTCGCATTATTGTTTCTTTATTGGTCAAGTTTTTTGACATGAAGTTTTGACATTATAGTTCATTGACAAACTTGAAGGAAAATTATGCTAAGACATATGTTTAAAAAACGATAGCAATCTTTGATTGTTTTTTTTTTTTTTTTTGAAGACCCGATACAAACCAAAGGCATTGTACAAACTGAAAACATCGACTCATCAAGCAAAATAAGGAATCCCAGTGGGATTCCGTAGATTTGTAGAGGGTTTATTAGTTTCAATTTGAGCCTAATTATGTCAAGATTGGATTGAAATTGATGGAGTTATGAGGCAAAATGTGCCTTGATGCAAGATTTTGGCCTCAGAATAAGTGAGTTTTTGAACTGATGAGTAAAGGTTTTAACCTAATGAACTAATGAGTGAAGAGTGCATGTCATGAGTAAATTGAATTCTTATGAATCATTTGGAAACCATTGTGACTTGAAAATTAGTGAATTTTTGAACTAGCGAAGAAAGATTTCTGACCTGGAAATTAACGAGTTTTTGAACTAATCTGAAGTTTCTGATCTAGAAATTAGTGAATTTTTGAATTAATGGGTAAAAATTTTGATCTGAAAATGAGTGAAATTTTGACGTTAAATTGAACAACATAGAAAACCCGTATTGATTGTTGTAATTTATGGTCTAGAGATTATAAGTAAATATGAATTAATAATATTCAAATTATTAATTTATGTTCTGGAATTTATTTTTCTATTTCTGTCCAATTTCCAAAAATAAATTTTAATGTAAATTTTTTAATTATTTTAATTAGGTTGATGTCCAGTATCACTATAATGTTTAGCTACCTATAATAGAACTGGTCTTTTTAGCAATCTTGTGTCACTTTTCTGTCCTGACATTCTGTTTTTAATAGTTTCAGAAATTTTGCCCAGGATTCAATAAATGCCGATTTTTTTCTGAAAGTGTTTTTATATTGAAGTGTAATAAAAATTCTTGGTTGTTGATTATTTTGATTATTATCAGAATTGTTTTTTAATATAAGGTTTAGATCAAGCTTTTGTCTGTACCTGAATCAGTTGTTTTAATATAGCATTAAGTGCTCAAAAGCTAGGCCTTTCTCTAAATTGGCAAAGAGTTTTATAGTGGAACAGTATGACCAGTTTTTCATTGTGTTTGGTCAGTAATCCATCATTTATCTTGTGGAAGATATGTTGTAGATATGAACATTTGTAACACCACACTGTTAAAGTTTAGATAGGTAATCGGTTTATTGTAGTTTTTTTTTTGGTTGTCTGTTAAATGTTTCTCATTTCAATGGATATTCACTCCTGTAACATATTATTATTGGTATTATTATATAATATTGAGCCCATAGAGGTGCCACAGCACCTAGGGGTTTTTTTTTGCCTCTTATGATTAAAATAGTTTTAAGTGCATATTATGTTTATAATCATGAAATTGTAAACTATTATTGAATAAATTGAAATTGAAATATACCTACCTACCAATCTGTTATTAAGAATTTTTGTAAGTACCTATCTAAAAAATGAAATACAATAGCTATTTTCAATTTTAAATTTCAATATTGAATTGGATGTACTTATTGTAGCTGTTGAATTTATTTGAAATTTCTTGGTGCTTATCAAAATGGACTGAACAAACCAAGAAACAAACAATATCGGCAACATATTATTATTTTTTTTCAAAAGGGTAGTCAAAAGATAGTGTAGGTAAACAATGTCCAATAAGATCATTTACTTCTACTAAGTTCTACTACATGAACTGTGATTTAAACTTTTGATATTTTTATACCAGTGTTCATAGAACTTATAGATACTTTATAAATTGTATAATTGTACTTTGTTAATAATAAACGATTTTCAAAAAAAAAAAAATATATGGAACAAAACAACTTACACAACCATTCCGTAGGCCCCTTCGCCGATGTAGGACAAATTCGTATAGCGGGGCCCCACCTCGAAAATTTGTCCCCTGACGATTTCCGCATTGGGGTTCACATTTGACACACCTGTAGCTTCGGCCATTTTTGGTTTGGGGGGCCCGCACCTACTCGACTCGGCAAACTCACGGGAACTGCGAGACACAGATAAACGACGAGAGGATGACAAGACAAGAAGCGCCCTTTAAAGGGCCGGCGTTTGCGGAGAGAGAAGAACGATAAAGCGGAATCGATTTTTGATTACTTGGCGTTTTAACTTTTGCCGATGTCTGTGGTCGGCGGATTTCGACAGCCGAGACGCGGAATATTGTGCACTATAAAGCCGAATTGAATTTATTTAAATTTACGATTTTAATGTAGGCACTTGCGGCTTGTGGAGAACTTTTTGTCATAATTTTATTTTTGGCAAGAAAAAAAATTCCGAAGGCCCTATCACAGCTTTAAAAAAATTAAAATGTCACATTGTCACATGTCTTTGACACGTGTGACGTGACATTTCTTTTACGTTTTCAGTTTTGAATTATGGAAGTGCAGAAATCTACATTTTGGTGTTTTAGATAAATCCCAGTAGATGGCAGGCGCGCAATAAAAATCAATTTTATTACCCAACGGGCTTCTGACTTTTTTCCATCCTCTACGCACACTGCAAGGCAAGACTGAGCGAAACATTTAAAAGATGTCGATTTGTTCCAGTCAGTCACTCCCAAACAAAAGTACAATCAACGAACTCGGTGTTGTCAGATTTATAGTTTAGACAGGGTTTTCCGGAAATAAATGTAACAAAATTTGTTCAAGGATTCTAAAAAAAAAAATTGGGGACCCCCACGGAGGGAAAAAATTAGCTTCAAATTGAGTTTTTATTTTTTTTTTGAAGATTTTCGATAGGGTTTCACATTCGTCTTTTGACCAATGAACTATACAGGGTGTTTGGCGGAGGGTTAGCCAAACTTGGTGGGTGTATAGATAGGCCCATTTCGAAGATATTTTATCAATACACTAGTGCCCGGGTCCCCATTTTTTTTATCATTGCGTTTGTATTTTTCTCAAGAATTTAAAAAAATTGACCATTTAACTTCTGGTTACTTTCATCAAGATCAAGGATACCCTTTAGACCAAAAACACACGAAAATAGTATATTGTTTAACGAGTGACGAAAAATGATTTTTGACGAGTAAAACACTATACTTTTACAGAGAAAATTTGTTCAACTATACTTTTTCCTGTGCTTTTTCTATGACCATGTTTTGGTTTTTACTTTTTGCTGTTAAAACTAATGTTTTTTCACTTTTTTCACAAGGGTTTCTACTTAGTTTGATAGATGGCGCCGTAAACGTGGATGAATCAAGACGCCATCTATCAAAAGTTCTCGTTTTTAATTAATTGTATTACTATTATCCTATTATTTTGCTTTTATTCCATCATATAAAGCAAAATTTACATAATTTTGTGATAAACTATAGTCGATTAAAGGCGATTAACCATTCGGTTATATTGACAGATGAACAATGCATTTAACGTCATTTATTACCGATTGGTTGACAAATGACGTTTGCTTCATTGGTTATCTGTCAACTATGACCGACTGGTCGCCTTTAATCGATATGTTTTTCCATCGTGCTCCACAAAATTAAATTATAATTGGATTTGAAAGAATGTTTTTAACATGTAAAATCCTAATCATTCCCTTTCGTCACCTCACTAGTGACGAAAGTGACGTTTTCGGTTAAGGTGGAATATGACGAGAGTTATTTATTTTTTAACGGTTATAGAAAATAGTAAGTACATTATATACCTAGGTAGAGAAGTTGGTCATTATAATGCGTAGGGTATATAATGACTTTCTCTACCGAGGCGAGGGATATATAGAATTTTTTTTACTACTGCTAGTAGAAAATAAAAAATAGGTTTGAACCTGTGCTCAAATTATTTTCTCTTGTCGGAAGTGCTGCCCTCTATCAACAGCTTACGGTAATTTCCTATAATGTACCAATAGAAACCTGTTACGTTATGACAATATCCTTGCGTCATGACGTCATTTTGATTATTGACCTAGGTATTTTTTCATTATTTTCATTATTAACCCAGGGAGAGAAATTCAATTTTTTCCCAGAAAAATTGATGGAATAATAGGTCTGTTTCTGCAGAAATCACAAACCAGTCAGAGTGAATTTTATTGGTAGAAAGTAGTTTTCTAGTAGTTGACTGTTTTCAACCAATGAAATTTACTCTGACTGGTTTGTGATTTCTGCAGAAATAGACCTAATGACTACTTCTCAGGTTAGTAGTAAAAAAACTACTTTACGCACTGGTGCGTGACATTTTTATGTCTTCTAAAAGGTGCGTAACGTAAGTACTTTACGCGCGGTAGTGCAAAAAAATAATTATTGCGCCTTCATTTACAGTCGGGATTGAGATGTTGTAACCATACTTATACAGGGTGGTCCATTTGAATTGAGACATTTCAATATCTCGGAAAAGGCGCGTTTTTGAAAAAAAAAAGTTCAATAATGTCTTAAGTTCAATGGCCCACCCTGTATACCTATTGTATATCGTGTGCTAGAAACTTAAAATTACCAATTTTTCATTGAATATGAAAATTTTGCGGCTAAATAAAAGAAAAAGTAAAGTCTGTTTCTTTTTTTGAAGATAATTCCCCAAGTCCCAAAAATTTAGTAACTATGTTGGCAACACAATCATTTTGACTTTTATCTTTACTACCCTTTTGCGAACGAAAATAGAAAATTTCCTCAAAAAGGCAAAAAGGGGATAATTCCGTCAAGCTGGCAACACTGTGGCTGACTCGTAATCAAACGCAGGATATCAACAAAGCATTTGATAGGTTGGATATAGGCCCCGCCCCTTTCCTATCAGATGCGAGTGATATCAGCAGGGCATTCAATTGGTTAGTTGAGCCCCGCCCCTTTCTGGGGTTTATGTATCGTCAAGGTATTTGATTGATTGTTTCCTTTTCAACCCTTTCCAATGGCCCCGGCCCACCTACAATGACCTCACCTTTTCAAATAGAAATTCGGTACCGCCGCCATATTCTTGCAAATTTTGAATATAAATATAGAAGTTAGCCACGCCCGCGCCCCTGCCGCCATATTTTTTGATGTTTACTCAGGTATTATTATTAATATTATTATTATCTAAGTTTATATTTATTTATTCTTTATTTTTCAATTTTTCCATCTTGTCTATTCCCGGATCTTGAATTTTCGTTTTCTTCTTAATTTTTCCAATGGCCATTTCCACCAACTATTTTAGGGAAGCCCTAACAATAGGTATGCCTTAAACTGACATTTCTCCATGTAAATGTCATTTTAGGGAATACTTATCGTTATGGCTCCCCTAAAATAGTTGAGGTTTATAATGCGTGATGCGTGAGGTATATAATGACTTTCTCTACCGAGAAATAGATTTTTTTTTACTACTGCTAGGGCCGGTTTCTCAATAACGAATCACCCCCGGGTTGGTTTTAACTCCAGGGTTAACGTGTCAAATTGCAATTTTACCCTGGAGTTAGCTTAACCCGGAGGTGACCTGCTATTGAGAAACCGGTCCCTAGTGGAAAATGAATAATTTGTAATCTGTGCATTAATTTTTTTTTTGAACGCCCTTTTGAAAGTGGTGTCCTCTATCAACAGCTTAAGATAACTTCCTATGTACCTACAGAAACCTGTATTTTTTATTTTTTAACGTATGAAATTGAAATTAAACCAATAAAAACATGACAATATCCTTGCATCATGACGTCATTTTCATTATTAACCTAAATATTTTTTCATTATTTTTATTTTCATTATTTTTATTTTCATTATTAACCTAGGGAGAGAAATTCAATTTTTTCCTAGAAAAATAGATTGAATAATGACTATTTCTCAGGTTAGTAGTAAAAAAAAAACATTTTCATGAACATCAAAAAATAAGTTACAGCAGTTAAAAGGTCCATTTTTGAAAATTCTTGACAACAATACGGAAGCAATGATAAAAAAAGGGGAACTTAAGGCAACAAGTGTATTAATAAAATATCTTCGAAATGGGCCTATCTATACGCTCACCAAGTTTGGCTAACCCTCCGCCAAACACTCTGTATAGGTAGGTGTAGGTACTAGGTACTACACGTAAGTTTGTTTACTCTGTAGCACACGTACTTGTTTACGAGCAATGGTGGGGTCTATTCTATTCTATTCTATTCTCTCCTGGGATGTGCGATGTGCGGACACCTGCATTGGAACTCGTGGCTCAATGTGCCTCCCTGAAGTTTTCATATCAAGTCTACGCACTTAGTAAAACCTAGTATGTCCCTGATATTCACTTTCACGATTTCCTTTGGTTTTGGGTACTGTGTCCCAAAGAGTGCCCCTGTCTTTGCCATCTAAGGTTAGAACTCGATTAACGTTCCCCAAAACGATGTATTTGGTACTGCCTATAATTTCCAGTACTGTTTGTGTCCGAGACTAAGGAAGAAAATGTCCATATTTTCAAGAAAACTCTTTTTTCGATGAATCGCAATTATTAGTTTTACCCTCTTAAACCACCCTTAAAGTAATTTGCAAGTCAAGTGAGGTTCCCTAAACAGTGTATATTGGTACTGTCTATAACTTCCAGTGCCCTTTGGACCCGAGACTAGGGTGGAAATACTGGAAATGTCCATATTTTCACAAAAACCTTTTTTTCAAAATATAAATTGTAATTCAGTAATTGCAATTTTAAAAATCGGAAATAGGGAGCTTTAATTTGAAATTGGTAACATGTAAATCAGAATCAGTAAATATCTATGAGGGCTGGGGCCTTCCAGATGTTACTTCAATGCTACTAGATTCAGAAATTCAGATCAGAACTTTCCGAGTTCGGCTGAATGCTATTTTGAACCAAAAATATGTCTAAGAAATCGCAGAAAATGTTGAAATGCAATTTTTGCTCATTTTGGAAATTGTCTCCTGATATTTCTACAGACGAAGCCAAAAGGAAGTTTTCAACACTATTTTGAATTAAAAATACTTCCACTGTATGACTATTAACTCCAATAAGTATAAATTGTTTATTTGGTCAATAGGAACTTTAGGTCTATTTTGGAGATTTCCAGTTTGTTTAGTGACAAGAATATCAATTTAAACACGTCTATTTTTTCCTCAATAAAAACAGATTTTTATCAAAATAAATTTATTTTATTAACAAAACGATGTCGACAGATACAAAAACTAAGTTAAATCAGTTAGATCTATTGCTTTTTTTAATTTATCACGAATTGTGCCAATCATAAATAAGCTCAAGAGAAATGGGCACACCTTTTTATCAAAATAAATAAGCGTTTTCACAAAACGAGGACTAGAGCTACATAAAATTAAGTTGAATAGGCTAGATCCATTGCTTTTCCTATTTTATCACTGATTGTGCCAATAAGAAATAACCTCAGTGAGACATTAACTGGCGAGAAATACAAAAATGAGCAATGGACACTCTTTTATTAAAATAAATTATTTATTTTTTTCACAAAACAACCTAATTCCATTGCTTTTTTTTATTACCAATTGTGCCAATTATAAATAAACTGAAGAGAAATGGGCACACCTTTTTATCAAAATATTTTTTTTTTCACTGATTGTGCCAATCAGAAATAACCTCAGTAATCTCTCACTGACAGAATACAGAAATACAAAAATGAGCAATGGGCAAACCTTTCCATCAAACTAAATTTAAAAAAAATCATAAAATGAGGACTACAGCTACGTAAAAATAAGGGTAATAGGTTAGATCCATTGCTTTTTTTATTTTATCACCGATTGTTCCAATCATAAATAAATTCAAGAGAAATACAAAAATATAAAAATAAGCAATGGGCACCTGTTTGGTATAATAGTGTTTTAAAAACTAAAATAGCCTAAAATTCCTGGCTGACAGTGCAATCTTCAGTGTCATGACCAAACTCTGAAAAAATATAGACATTTTAAGAATTTTCTTCACCTTAGAACAAATGAAATAAATTTACCTTCGCAGATGGTACAGTAAGGCCTAGGAGGTGGCTTTTCTTTTTTCTCTTTGCCTGACTGAGTACTGCAACAAGGTTCTTCTGAGTCCTGCTTCGGACAATCCTCCGTCTCATGCAGGTCGAACTCTTCGCATATATCACAGTACTTTCTAGGAGCTACTTGCCTTTCAGCCTGAGAACCAGCTCTAAAAAAATAATGTTATTTTATCATATTTTGGAATTTAGAATCTTATATTATACTTACTCTCTGAGGCTTGCAGCACCAGCCGGACTATATCCCTGCTCCAATAAACTTATCCTTATTGTGTGCTCTTCATTTTTCTTTAGCATATCGACAATGATGGAATTCAAGAAATCAAGTTGGGCATCGGAGTAAGATTTAGCTTCAAGGAGCTTTCTGTATTCAGGAGTGTCCTCAGCTTTAACCTAATAATAGAATAACCACAACCTCATTTTATTTTATGTGCTAAGAGAAGATGCAAATAAAACCTAAATATTGATTTTAGAGTATAGTGATCTGGAAGAAGAAAATGTCAGAAGCAGCAAGCAAACTTGTAAACATGAAAAAGGCAAACTCAGATAATTCACATGGAAAATCATCGAAACATAAAATTTTTAGTAATTTTTTTCCATGTTGTAGATTTGATATAATATTCATGTCAATTTTTGTTTACTAAAAAATACTAGCAGTTGGATAATTTATCCTTTTATGCATATGTAAAAATACTCAAATCAAAGATAAAATTGAATAAATAATAGCACTACCAGTTATATCAAAGTTCTTTAACAGTGCAATATAGAAGTGTCCATTTCTATGGTGGATGACATGAATAAATACATAATTAAATAAATAGATACCGTGTAGCTTCAGACTAACGCACCTTCATTCCTATTTACAATATATTTCTTTTTAATATGTTAAAATAAACAGAAACTCACCACACTTCCACTGGGTCCGTCAATCGCTATTGTGCTAGGGGTAGGTTGCTCCTAGAAAAGAAATTGGTAAATATAAAGGACATTGATCGCTCAATCACTATATTACCGCCAACCGATCCTTCAGTGCGATCAGTTCTGTCTCCAAATCCATATATTTCGCTTCCCATTGAAGGTTACTTTCCAACATTTTCTTTTCGAATTCAGTTTCAATAGTTTTAATAACTTTTTCGGTGTGTTCTGCTGATGCCTGTTCACTATTAGCTTTAACTTCTTCCTTTTCCATTTTTAGCGATATTATGAGCCCATCTTTTTCTGAAAGCTTTTGCTCAAGTTCAGTAATCCGATTCGAGCTTTCTTGAACTCTCAAATTGAGCAATTTGTTTTCAGACTCCAATTTTGCCAACTTTTGTTCTGATATTTGTGAATCGAGTTCCAAGCGTTGATGTTCTGATTCTAGCGTATCTAGTGTTTTCTTCAAATTGTTCTCTTCATTTGACATTAGTTCGGTCAAATGATTAACCTGTTCGGTGTTAGCCATTAATAAACTATTTTTATGCTCAATCTCTTGATTTAATTTATGAATTTCTTCTGATTTGGTCTGTACATCTTTCTCGTAATTGTCCATTTTATCATTCATCTTCTTTTGGTTCTCATTCAATTGAATAATTGCATCATCTTTTTCAACTACTTGTTTAGTTTTTTCAGCCAATGCAATATTTGCCTGGTCAAGTTTCTCTTCTAAACTTTGAGCAACATTTTTTAATTCATCCTTATCCGCTAATAATTTGGCTAGTTTAGAATTTAGCTCTAATTTGGCTTCGTTAAGCTGCTCTTCTAAACTGCTTTCGTTGATTCGTTTTTGTTCTACAACATCGGTTCGTAAAATTAATTCACTTTCAACTCTGTTAAGTTCATTGATTTTATCTTCAAGTTTCAAGCTAATGGAATTTTTCTCTTGAATAATATTTTCAGTCTCAGAAGTTTTTGCATTCAATTTTTCAGTGACGTTTTCAAGTTGTAACTTAAGATTGTCAAGTTCTTGTCTCAAATTCGTTTCAACATTCGATAAATTGTTGTTCTTATTTTCGGCATTTAAATTTAAAATTATCTCGGCATCTGCCTTGCGTTTTTCCAATACAAGTTCCATTTCGGATTTCACTTTTTCAAACTCAATATTTTTATTTCTAATAATGTTTTCTAATTCCGATATTTTAATATTCAATTGAATTATTTGTTCATCTTTATCAGCAACTAATGTATTTATTCTGGAAATATTTGAATCTCTTTCGGCTATCAGCTTATTAAATTCTTCTTTCTGTGTTTCAACAGTCAATAAATTGTTGTTTTTATTTTCGGCATTCAAATTTTTAATTATTTCGGCATCTGCCTCGCGCGTTTCCAATACATGTTCCATTTCGGATTTGACTTTTTCAAGTTCAGTATTTTTATTTACAACAGTGTTCTCTAATTGGGAAACTTTATTTTTCCACTCACTTATATGCTGTTGTTGCTCATTTAATGATTTTTGATGTTGTTCTACAAGATCATTTAATATTTTATCCGTTGCTTCTTTTTGGTGAATCAAAGAGTTATTTAACTGATTAATAATTTGCACTTTTTCCTCGAGTTCGCCAGAAGTCTCTGCTAAGGATTGATCCACTGCAGCCATGGTATGTGAAAGTTGTTTTCCTAAACTATCAACCTCTGATATTTTTGATTGAAGCGAATTATGCAATTCGCCTCTTTCCTCTTCAAATTTCCTTTCGACACAACTTAAGTTGGCTTGGCATTCTGATAATTCTTTCCTTGCAGCCTGTAATTCTAGTTGTGTTGTTTGCACCTGTGTTTCCAAATCAATAATTAAATTCTCATTCTTGGCTTGAGCATCTTTAGTCTTTTGCAGCTCTTCACGTATGTTTGCAAGTTCTTCTAGTGCTTCTTTCTTCAATTTTTCTTGTTCTGAAACTAGATCGTCATATTCCTTGCTCGTTGTGTCTGAACGGGCCTGAAATATTATTCCAGATTAATAAAAACTCAGTTCAACATGAACATTCTTGCCTCAATGTGAGCCCTCATGATTTCTGCTTCCTCGTACTTGAATTGCCAATCCTCGTTCTTTTTCTTTTCATCTTCGAGCTGACTGTCCAAGTGCTGACAATTCTCTCTTAGTTCGTTGAGCATGAGCACATGTCTTTGGATTTGAGTTACACTTTCTTCTCGGTACTAAAAAAAAAAATATCGATTCTGTTTTCATTCTAAAAATTTTGAATTTTTACTTTTAAGAATTTTTGAGTTAAATCCTGCAATTTTCGTTCTGCTTCATTGGCTTGACTGATCGCTCTGGTCGCTTCCGCCCTGTCCAGGTCTTTTTCCTTTAACAGTTGTTCGATGTGTTGTTGCTTCTCGTCAAGTAACCCCTAAATAAATGGATTTACTAGGTTTTTTTTTTCTACAAAGTGATTACATAATCAACACCACAGGCTAGTACAAATATTATTTGGTAACAAACGCAGAAACTCTACTTTTTAGATTAGAACATTGTGCTTTAGGAGTCGAAATTGCGAAGATGTTTCTACTGTTAACTTACTTGCACCCATAGATTTTGACTTGCCAGAAGTGAAATTATTAAGCCATGAGCCAGTAATCTCACTAATTAGTCCAAGAAACGGGGATCTGAAAAGAAGGTTCACCTCAACATAATTAAAAGTTAACATTTTTTCAGGGGGATCGGTCCATTTTAATATGCTAAATATTATATTAAGTTTGCGACCTTGTACTTCCGTAGGGTTTTTAGTTAGACGTGAAAAATTCCGCGTGACGTGTTCAGGCGAATAGGTCATTGAGTAATTAACGAAAAAAAAATCCGCTAGGGCATTAGGAGAGGAATAAATGGGCTGCCGATTGTCGAAAACTGTCACCAAATATTTGGCCCCGTTTAGAAATTACAGTGAATGCAAGAAAGGGGTAGTTTTCGATGCAATTTACAACTTCCTCGCACATTAGCCAAGTCCGTGCTCGCTTAATTTTCAAGTCAAAAATTCGAACTAAAAAGCATCGGAGAGTGCATTCCATTAGCAATAATGTGGTGTTTACACAATTAAAATCGGATTATGCATTCGGCCGCCGCTGCACCAAATGCGCGCAAACAGGCGAAACGCTGATTCAGTGACCTTGAACAAAAACATGCTACTATTCAAGACGCCGCAGAAAAAAAAACTATAGAAGATAAAGGGGTGCTGTCGCGGAGTTTTTTATAGCAAAAAACTTCAGCTACAACAATCATTTGAAACTTTTTGCTATTGGACCATCCCTTTGAGCAGCGTTCTCCATAAACCGCAAATTACCCCTAACTAAAAACCCTATGGAAGTACAAGGTCGCAAACTTAATACGTTATTTAGCACATGAAACTGGACCGATCCCCCCAAAAAAATGTTAACTTCTAATTATGTTGAGGTAAACTTCCTTCATTGCTTGGCCTAAATGCAAACTATGATGTTTTGTTTGAAGGTAGTAGATAATGTTCCTGTTTAAAAAGAGTTTTGGACTTCCATTGATTATGACTTCTAGCTTGATGTCATAAAAAAGTGTCATCAGCTTGAAAACTATCATATCTATAGGAACGTTGCCACCAAAATTAAAATCAGGGTAATTAATGGTCCAAAACGATTGTCCTTTCTACCTTTTCAATACAAGTTTCTGGAAGTTTTGTCTTGTTCTTCTCGAAGACTCTGTTGTTGGTAAAGATGCAGCTAGTAATTCTGTCGAGGCTTCAACTAAAGTTAACTTGTTTGATCCAACATAAAAAGCAAACTATAGCTTTGTTTTGGTTTGAAAAAAGGCCGGTTCAAAACAATCGCATAGTTAATCAATCAACAAAATGACAACGGCTTTGCTATCAAAAATTGCTATAATAAACTGTGCGATTGTTTTGGACCATTCTAGAACCGCCCTTTTTTGAACCAAAACAAAGCTGTTTGGCAGATGTTGGATAATTCGATTTCGAGTTCTCAAACAAATTAATATGGAGACTATTTTCTGCCTTCGGCTAGCTTATTCTGTAACTTGCGACCGCAGATAATTGCGAAATTGTCGCTGTCAAACACGATTTTTCTATTCTAAAAAAGCAACTTGTGACCGGTTGCTGGTTGCTATGTAATTGCTGTTCGTAGAGCCTATAGGCCTACCGATCCGAAACACCAAACCTTGACAAGAAGGGAAAATTTCGTGCCGAAACCTCAGCCAATCGTTCTCAGAAAATGCCCCAGCCTTCTATTTATTTTTTTCCAATGGAATAAAACGTCTGGAAGTGAAGGGTATTTTATAAATATCATAGGATGGGTCAAATAGGCGCTCAGAGAATCGAAGATTCGAGACGAGTCTGTACTTATTCGCCAAGAAAATGTTGCAAATTTTGATTGAGGTGTAATGCTCAAAAATCAGGAAGTATGAATCTATATCAAAACATACAAATTGGGAAAATTGTTCCGAAACAATGTATTCAGTCTGGTCAAGGCCTAAGAAACTTGATTTTGATGTGAAGGTCCCTCAAGAATTGGGAAATACAACAATGCGACAAAAAGATGAAGAAAAAGTGCGGAGAGTTGCAGTTTCTCGGTCTGGTGTGTATAGTTTCAGGACTTTTTGTTTCATACCATTAGTCTTTAGAAAACTTTATTGAGTTGATTGAGTTCGATTTTCTTGAAACAAGAATCTCAGGATCAGAAAATACCTGAATTGTATTCCAATACAATAACAGAGATAGCCCTTTAAAACTTTTGTGTCAAGCCAATGGGGCAAATATTCAGGGGAATAATAAATCTGAATTCTAGTAGAGACTTATTGTGACAATTGGAGAAAACTTGAAGTGGTCAGTTTTGGAGGTGTTTTTGAATTGGATGGTAAGCCATCATTTATAGTTTGGAAGGTATTTTTTTTTAATTTTAATAAAAAAAAGTCCAATAAATAAAATGACATGAAATTAAAACACAAACACACGTACTCCAATTAGTATGAATCTACCTCAAACATACAAGTTAGGAAAATTGTTCGAAACAATGTATGCAGTGTGGTCGAGGCCTAAGAAACTTGATTTTGATGTGGAACTTGGTGTGGACATCCCTCAAGAATTGGGAAATACAAAAATGCAACAAATAGACTGCGAAAAATTGCGGAAAGTTGCAGTCGTCTCGGTCTGGTATGTATAGTTGCAGGATTTTCTGTTTCATACGAGTAAAGTCAGGATCAGAGAATACCTGAATTGCATTCTCATAGAATAACAGAGATAGTCCTTTAAAACTCGTCTTGCCAATGGGACAAATATTCGACAAGTTTGTCCCTGGAGGAGTAATATAGCTGAATTCTAATAGAGAATTATCGAGGCAATTGGAGAAAGCTTGAAGTGGTCAGTTTTGGAGGAGTTTTTGAATGAGATGGTGAAGCGATCATTTATAGTTTGGAGGATATTATTGAAATTTTATTTATTTCCATGAAGAAAAGTCTTCCAATAAATAAAATCACATGAAATAAAACACAAACACATGTACTTCAAAAAAAAATTCTTTCTTTTTAATCACTCAGGTAACAATAATAAAGTAGGCAAATCTCAAACTCAATTAAGCTTTATTAATAATAAATTTAACAAAAGTTAAGTAAACCATAAACTACAAACTAAATTAACATAATATGCAATTCTTAAAATAAGTTCATCGATTTGATTAAAAAAAAATCAAAAGTTAATCAAAGCTCATTTTACCTTAGGTTAAATATTCTGGACCGATTCTAGTTTGTTACCAAAAGAAAAATAAATATTTCATTATTCAAGCCTGTACAAAAAAAAAAATGTTATTTAACCTAGTTTAAAAGCCTGTGGTGTTGCTTTAGTACAAAAAAAACTTCAGTAAGTTACCTGCCAGGCTGCTCGCGCTGCTACTGATCGGGTAGTCGAAGTAGGTGTCGTCGGCGATTTCTAACAAGAAAAAAGGCCAACATTGGATTAGTATAAAAAAAATCAAACAAAACTAGTTAGGATAGTTACTATGGAACTAATGGGTTACACAAACCAACTAAAAACGAAACGTAAAAACAGAACTACTAAGGAAAAGTAAGAGCGTTGGTGCTAGAAGATTAGACAGCAAACTACAAAAACATTTCATTTTTCACTGAATTCGAGAAAATGAAAATTAATCTTTTGTGCAGGAGTCTTTGAAGTCGAATGAGTTTTTCCCAGTGGTATTTGGGGGCAATTTATTTTTCTGTATTTGTGATAATTGTGAAAAAAAAAACTGCAATCGACTCATGTGGGATCCTTAGCAGCAGTGAGTAAAAAAAAATTAGTAGCTTCTGTTGAAATCACACAATTCATGCTTTTTTTCAATGGTTAAGGAGAAAAAAAACTAAAACATTCACAAAAGAAAATTTCAACAACAGCATTAGATTAGCTTTAAAACACCATGCATATCAGTCATGATGAAAAAGTTTAACTTCCTTGGTTGGTTGGTGTGTCCGCTTTATTCTATTTTTACCTTAAAATCTAGAGTATAAATATGATAATAATAATATTTTACCCATGCTCTAACACCAACCTACCTTTGGTGCCAATGAAGTAACTCCCAGCCTTACCCTTCTAGGAGCAGTTGAAGCGGAACTCATCATTGACACACTAGATGTCATTGATTCCCTCGAACTAGCCCTTCTCATGGCACTGGGAGGCAAACCCCCAGTTGGAGAATGTATTTGGCAGTGATTCGGTTTTACATTCGATGGAGATTTGCTCACCTTGGAGATGGGAGAGAAAATTCCGAAGCCTGGCTGGCATTCGAAATACCTGGAAAGATGTTCCGATATTGCGTTGGTCAAAGTTTCTGAGATAGCCACTTTTACCTAATCCCGTTAACAGATCCGTCGTTTTTGCCTCTGGGTTCATCCAATTCTACCCCGATCCACTCTCCTTTGGCAAACTGTGTCAGGCCCATATATCTTACAGTTCCTACTTTTGAACCTTGGCCACTTTTAATTATGACTCGATCTCCGATCGTGTAGTCCACTTGTGCACATGACAAGCTTGTATTCGAGTCAACTAAAATCCGAATATAAATTTTCATTGCAATAATATTTATTGCTACATTGAAAACTAAACACATAAACAGTAGATTAAAACAAAATCAACTTTAACAATTTTTTTTTAGTATATATCACAGAAAGTTGCAATGCTCTAAATTTTTCCTTACAAGGAGACCCAGGAGATTTTATCATGCTTCTGTAACTTTCTGAAGGCGATGGTGACATGGCGAGCATCCTATGACTCCCGACATGTGATGAAGGGGTACTTATGTCTGCAGAACCTCCATGATCAAGAGGCACCCTGGTCAGTCTAGTAAGACGGCAGAAAACTCCCTTTTTAGGTTCGCACATAAAATATCTAGTGCCACCAACGGAGCCGTCATTTTTGCCTTAAAAAATTATCCAGTGAAAGATGTTTTATAGACTAACATAAAAACTATTACCAATCGGTTCATCTAAGGCTATGCCAGCCCACTCTCCAGGGGCAAATGTTGTGTCCCCAATGAAAGCAATGTGTCCTGGTTTATTGCCACCCACCCACACTCTTTGGCCTATTATAAAGCTGTCGGTGTCTTCAGTTAAGACAGCGCTGGAATCTAAACAACAATAAAAGTCAATAAAACTGCAACTAGCATGAAATTTTTGTTTAATAAAGTTATTTGAGCACATTAATACCCAACACCAATAATATAAGTGGATTTTATATACGGAAGATGGTTAATAAGGCTTCAGTTTTCTTCCAGGAAGTCCGTTGTACCTGTTATATAATGTGCAATAATTATTATCGTAAGCCTAAAAATCCGGTCTCTCGTTAATACTGTTTTTGTAACTGAAATTGCCGTTATTCAAAAAAAAAGCGGTAAATTTTAATAATGTTTGTTACGAATATCTCAACAGCGTGACATTTTTTTTTTAGTATTTTTAGTGCGTTTATTTTTCTCGTTCTGGAATAAATACCTGAATGGCGACTAAGGCCTGCTTCGCTAAGTCGATGAGAGTGAAGTTCCCAAAGAGCATCCACAGAGGAAGCTGGGCTACCTAATGGTGCAAGCGACACATAAACAAGCAAAATAAGGACAAAACAAATTGCAAAATTGGTTGGTGCAAAAAGGGCCAATAGTGGACATTATAACATTGAGCATGCGATATTTTAAGGCAAAAATACTAAAAATAGGTTTATTTTTCTTACAGTTCAACTTACAATTATTATTATATAAAAATAGAGAAAATTTATTCAATGGTATGAATCAAACCGCATGTTTTGAATGCAAACCAGCAATTTAAGCTTGTGAATTTTTTATTAAAAAAAACAATATAAAACTGGGTGTAGATCCTGGCGTGAGCAAATAATAACAACAAAATAACTAATCATCAATACAGTGACGCAGTAATAACTACTGCTGGGTATTCAATATGTAGGCGAAAAAATAAAAAAATTAGGAACACTTACTAGACGAGTATCTTTTGCGATTTACGGAACCGTTCCAGGATGTGCGGCCCGATTGGTCCTCTTCGCCGTCTTCTTCCAACACATCTATTTCGATTTTGAAAAATGAAGTAGTCATGCAGTAAGTCACAAATAATAAAAAGATGGAACAGAACACATAAAATTGGAAATTATAAAATTAATAGGTTCTTTCGTACCTGTCAACCTGTGTCGTCCATATTCATCGATCATTTTTTTAAGGGGATCGTCGATTTCGTCTGCATAAATATCAAGTTTAGTACATAATAAGTTTATAGAAAAATGGCGAATATGCAGATTTTGTTTGGCAATAATTAGAGATTTGATTTTTTCTTAAATCGATTGGTATTTTGTGATACTATTCTAGGTTTGCCTTACTGGCATAGGTATTCGTTGTTTTCTAATTTTATAGAATATCTAGTAGTTAAACTCTGAACCTGTACTTCGAAACTTCGTATATTACGAGTTAATGTTACCAGTTACTTGAGTAGGAAACGACATAGGTATACTCATATCATTATACAGGGTGTCCTTAGATAAACTGACACATTTTGCAGGTAAATACCTCGAAACCTTGAATGCAGATAACGAGATGCGGATTTTTCTGGGAGAATTAGAATTTTTCTCTTCACATTTTTGCCAAATCCTTTGCTGATGGTGCAAGCGTTGCCTTATTTTCAATGAAACACCCTGTATATTTTATCATCGTCAGAAAGCGTGATTTTTCTACTTTACAAAAATGTATAATTTGTTTTAATTACATATCTTGAAATCACATTGTAAAAATTGAACTTTATTAAAGAGGGTACCATCAACTGGCCAAAAAAAAATTACTTCAAGCACTTAGAGGGACTTCAAACTTTCAGGAATTATTGAGTAGGGTCTTTTTATCAAACAGAACAAACTGCGAATGGATCCCAGGCGCGGAAATGGAATTATGATTTTTTTCTCACTTAGATGCAATAAAATCATGCAAAATTTCTATCAAATCACCATTGGAAGCTTCTGAAAAATACTTCAAGCAATCAGAGGGACTTCAAACTTTCAAGATTTATTGAGTAGGATCTTTTTATCAAATAGAACAAACCGCGAGTAGATCTCCGCCTCAGAAATGGAATTATGATTTTTTTTTCTGACTTAGATGCAAAAAACCTTAAAAAATTTCTACTAAATCACATTTGGAAGCTTCTGAAAAATACTTCAAGCAATCAGAAGGACTTTAAACTTTCAGGATTTATTGAATGGGGTCTTTTTATCAAACAACACAAACCGCGAGTAGATCTCAGGCTCAAAAATAAAATTATGAATTTTTTTCTGACTTAGATGCAAAAAAATCATAAAAAAGTCTACTAAATCAAATTTGGAAGCTTCTGAAAAATACTTCAAGCATTCAGAAGGACTTCAAACTTTCAGGATTTATTGAGTAGAGTATTTTTATCGAACAGAACAAACCGTGAATGGATCTCAGGCTCAGAAAAAGAATTATGAATTTTTTCTCACTTAGATGCAAAAAAATCATGCAAAATTTCTATTCAATCACCTTAGGAAGCTTCTGAAAAATACTTCAAGCAATCAGAGGGACTTCAAACTTTCAGGATTTATTGAGTAGGGTCTTTTTATCAAACAGAACAAACCGCGAATGGATCTCAGGCTCAGAAATGGAATTATGAATTTTTTCTCACCTAGATGCAATAAAATCATATAAAATTTCTATGGAACCACCTTTGGAAGCTTCTGAAAAATACTTCAAGTAATCAGAGAAACTTCAAATTTTTCAGGATTTATTGAGTAGGGTCTTTTTATCGAAAAAAACAAACTGCGAGTGAATTTCAGGCTTAGAAATGGAATTATAAAAAAAAATCTCACTTAAATGCAAAAAATCCTGTCCCCATTGACATTTTTAAAGATGTGTTTATAACTTCGATTGAAAATATGTCATTGGAATCCCTGATGATCAGTTGATAGTTTCTATCTTTGGGGCCTCACCCATATAATACAAACTGTCCTCCGGAAAACTGAAGACTGAAAGAACAAAATTAACTATATGTAGAATCCATTAGAAAATTTGCATCGTTTAATTTCATAGACTAATCCATCAAAACGATAGATCGGTTACCGGTCAAATAAAAGACCCCTCCTACATATTCTCACAGCCTACATTTTGCGACACCTGTCGCTTAGGAACCACTTTTTTTAACCTTTTTGACTTTGTAAACACAATCATCATTAAATTTTTTACGTAGGAATCATTACTTAGCGGTTGATTAATAATAAGGTCAGATTTGTTTATATTTGATGAGTTTGAAATTTTAGAAAATATCATTAAAAAGCAGCACTTCAAATTCATCGTGACTATGTATCGATATTATAAAATATAAATCAATATGGTACCATAAGTAAGTATCAAAGTATCGATATCTCTATCACATTCTTGGCCTAAGACAATCCGTTCCTTCGACGGCCCTGTTTAATATTCCATGCCCACATAGTTCTTTCCTACTGCCATTTCCTAATCTATGTAGGTTAACACACTTAATTTCTGTTAGCCTTACTTGCAAAATAAAATGAAGAAGTAATTTTGATCAAAACCTTTCAACTGTTAGGTAAATGTTAACTTATTGGTTGGGTCCATTAATGTGCGAAACGAAAAGAAAAATGATAAATTTGCAGTTAAATTTGCCAACGAAAACCATAAAATTTTATTGCCGAATAAAATACACCTTCACATTAGAACTTCTGTGTATTGCCGACAGAGTTAAAATGCTTGGAATCTAGGCAAGATACTATTTGAGCCAAATATCAACATTTTTGACTTGACCTGAAATTCTTTTATTAAACGACTTAGAAAGGAAAAAAATCTTCTTTTATCGTGGGAATAAATGGGCTTTCAATATACGGTTCAAATGACCACAAAAATCTTGATAAGAAGTGAATCATAATTATCAATGTTTATCAAATCTTTTGCAATATCCCACAAAAATTCCTATACAATGAATTATTGCAGGAGCTATATTTGATTAAAGCCTCAAAACAATCATTTCGACATGCACGTAGGTACTTGATATTAGTCAAATTTAATGAGGTCTTTTTCGCAATTGCTGGACAATTAATTTTTATGAATGAATTCAAATTAGTAGTTAATATTGAAAATGTGAACCAAAGTGCATGGGAAAATTTATAAGAATTCTCTGAATCCAACAATTCATGGATTAAAACATAAAACGAATGAAAAAAACCTGCAGATATAACAGGTCGAGGATGATTATGAGAAAATAAGTCAAGATCATCAAAATGAAATAAATAATACAGATACAAAAGCAAATAAGAATTCTGAGGAGGTACTAATCAAAAATATGTATGCCACCAAGATATTGAGTCTAAATTATGAGATTATACAGAATAGGGATGGGAGTTTGTAAATAAACATCAGGAACTTATGTAAATTACTTAAAATAACTGAATTTTGAATTTTGTCAACCTAAAGGAGTAACTTGAAGATGTAGTCGAATATAAGACAATGAATAAGGAAACCTAAATTTGATTTTTGAAATAAGGTTCGTTTCAGAAATTTGATGTAAAATTTGTACAATATTCGTTTTGGTTTGTTTAGTGGTTAACAAAATTGTATTTCCTCATATTTTATTAGTCATTTTATGACTGAAATTTCGTCAAAATTTTATTGGCCATTAAAAGTTTAAATTATTATTTTTGATGGATTGCCACAAATAATTCGTTCTGGTGTATTTTATTACGTGATGTAAAATTGATAAACCTCACCCAAAATCCGAACTTTCAAGTATTAACTTGAACTAAATTCGCGTCTAATCTAAATGCAACTAAACGATTTCTTTTTGCAAGAACAAAACATAAGAATGCAGAATAGGAAAAGGTTATGTCACGGATTTGCTTGATATTTACATGTCCCGACCTTTCCGTAAACTTTTGCCATTAAAATTGTGGAACTACTTGTTATGTGTGATTTATTATGAATTTTATCAAGTAAACATTGTGTATCGCATAATAAACACACCACACCTATGGATTATAATAATTCAACCTAAGAGGGTTATTAATTTCTCTTATGTCAATCTATAGAGTGGGTCCAAATCAGTCAAAGACAACTCTAAAATCATTTCCAAATTACAATTTCAAAGCCGAAAAAATTCCAAAGAAAAATCTCAATTTTGGCTCTCGAAATTTTTACATATCTTAACAAGGTTAAGAAAAATTGCTCATATCTTAAATGAAATTTGAGCAAATTGAAATAATTTATGTATCATTAGAAAGAGCATCAAATTCTCTATAAATCCATGCTAAATTGGTTCTGATCAAATACTTTTTAAGCGATTGAGCCTCAAAGAGTTGAAATTTTGTTAAAAATTTTAAACTCAACAAATCAATACCTATAATGTAAATCATTGACTTGTTTTTTTTAAAAAGTCTCTTGATTCAAATCACGCCAACCCTGAATAATAATATCAGATGGATATACCCCTAAATAATTTTGCAATTCAGTCATGTCTGGCAATGGATTGTGTGTCAAAAAAAAAACCTTGAATTGCCGAAGAGTTTTTCGTTTACCTCCGCAAAAACAAGATTCCATTTCTCAATGCTTCATTGTGCACTTTTTTGCTTTCGTGCACTTTCGCCCAATAATTCAAAAATTAAATTAATCTTGTGCACTGATTATAAGTTCCCAATATGGCCAAACTTGTTTTCCGTGTTTCATTATTATCCCGCCATAATAACTTCGTGACTCATTGGTTACAATTTTTTTTTTAAACTTATAAATATTGAAGTCACGAATAAGTACTGACGAAAACCGAGAAAATTTCCGCTGTGCATTGTTTAAGGATTTTCTTGTTAACATAAGAAGAAAAGTGGGCGGCAATAATAAATTGAAATAGGCGTGTTTATTGTAATAATATACCGACGTCAAAGATGTATTCAACCAAATTTAGCTGGTCTAAATACGGTAAGATTAAAGTGACGGAAACCGGACAAATTGTACATGATATAATCTTTTTCCTATTATTCTCACTCAAGAACCACCATTGTTTACTTGTATGTCCATACATGTACAGCGATTTCAATTCATACAATAGAATACTTGTAGCAAATGAAAGAGCTTTAAGATGTTCAATTAATTGCAAGCCAAAAATTAATTCAACCTGCGCGATAATAATTATGACATCCACTCGCCCAATTAAATAAACAAACAATAAAGTCACATTGTCAAAATTAATTGGACAATCGGGGTAAACGTGGTTGCACAACAAGAAACAATAGTGTTAAACCTTCGAGATTTGACCTGAACTGAAATCGTGAAAATAAGTACTACTATGCGGTAACGCTGCATGAGAACAAGACAAAGTATTCACTTAAAAAAAATAATAATGATTCTTCTCAGCGCATAAAAGTCACCTTGGAAACTATTCAATTATTTGCTTTCGTTATTAGAAAAATCGCCGTTTCCGTGATGGAAATTCTTGTTTGGCCGGCCTAACATGTATAAGATTCTGAGAATTCACCTATTTGGTTACAGGCAACTTATTATGTCAGAATTGGAGATGCAATTTATTCTAATGTGGTGCTCGGAATATAAATAATGAAAATTTCCTCTTAATATGTCGTGAATGCGGTAAGGTTCAGGAGAGTATGAGGAAAGTGCCATCAAGGTGTAGTTTTGCTACATTGACAGAAATGTTTTGGTTATTCCAGCAGAGGCTTTTCTGGAATATGAAATTCGAATTCTGTTACAAAATTTGCCTGATTTGAATAAATAAACAGCTCAAAAAAAAACTTCAAGTCGTTTCATTGAAAAATTCAAATTCTAATGTTTAAATTTGTATGCAAAACAAAATGGAAATTATGTTTGAAAATAACCAAAGTGATGTCACCTGTGTACAGTAATAATACACATTTGACTAAAAAGAATTATCAGTTTACTTATGAGAATTCTTTTGTTCCGAGGCTAAGAAAAATTGTGTAGGATTAGTTTTTCGTGGGCATTTTTATGTGTGGCTATTTTCTTGCAAAAGTGAAAAATGGTACTTAGTATGTGAGCTATTGAGTGATATTGAATGCATGATTTTTACATTTTTAGCATAATGTGATTTATAAGATTATAAAAAATTTCATGGGAAAACAAAATTATATTTTTTCTGCTTGGGTATTTTACAGTTCAAGCTCAAGGTTGGACTTACACAGTAGTTGCCAACTGGCATGGTGATCAAATATGTTAATTTTGTTACTGTTTGACTTGAAATAATTTTATTTCCTCAACTTAGTCGTAATTTTTTCATTATTAATAAAAATAATATCATCATATTAGCATTCAGACAAGCGTTCGGATCACAAGATGACATTGTTTTTCTTTGAGCAAGAGTAAGGAAGAAGAAAATAAATAAATCACACCAGAACAGACAACACTGGCGTATATTGAATTAACCACGCCAATATTGCTGACTTGAGGAGGTTAATTATTAGTACCCATATCGATTTCAAATTGATTGGTCTATTAATAGAGGAGCTATAAGGCGGAGCAGATAGACCCAGGCAGAAAACAACTTTTCAAAGGACCCACAGTTCAATTCACATGTTGTTGTTGTTAGATCAATTTTCTGGGAATCCAAAAAGAGTGTTGAGCTGAAAATTTGAAATTTTTGTCCTGAATTAAACCAGGGAATTGGCAATCAAAAATTTGATAGAAAATAAATGATATTTGAAATTCTAAAAATGTCAATTATTTATAGTTTATCTGATGATTAAAAAATATCCGCGAGAATCAGTCAAATAATATTATCAGGGTCCGGGATTAATAAAATTTTCTAGATTGTATAATCCCTGTAGGATTTTTTGAAATAGATTTTAATGAAAAATATAAATATTGTTTACTATAGCTTCATAGTGGGTATATTATCATGGTCGATGAGTGTCTGCACACCTGTTGATAAATGTGTATTCATTTTTTCTTTTCTAGAAAAGACACCGATCGACGCAAATGATAAAACAATTAATCATTTTTATTAATCATGAATATTGGATTTATGTATGAAACATTGGTTTGCTAGATTTGGATTTTAAATTATTTGGGAAATTTTTAAAAAAATCTATGTAAAAAAACCAAACAATTAATTCTAGCAAAAAATCTGAAAAATTTTATTATATTTATAATAAAGGTATCTAACAAAAATAAATATTTACCAAGGCTAGCAAATACCTATGTTGAAAAGTTGTTGAGAATCTTATTATTGGTATTTTAAATTTTCACTATTAATATGGTATTTAAAATTAATAAAACATATTTCGAATAAAAAAAACAAAATTCAAAATCATTTTAAACTAATTTCACAAAACAAAACCTGCATATTCGCCCTAAAAACGAAACACACACACAAAAATAATCAACTCACCAAAATAACTCATTTCAACCTAAATCCAAAAACCGGTAATCCAAGATTTGGTACCACAAAAATAATGTGCTAAAATATTTCGCTGAGAACAGAGGAACAACAACACGCCGAACACCTGATAGAGGAATGGTACCGCGTGTGGTGGTTCCGCAAAACAAAGCTTGAGAGCAGGAAAACGCTCGGTGTAGGTACACAAAGTACAGTGTGTACCAAAAAAGAATAGCGACTCGAGTTTTCAATTGGATTATTCACTTTTTTTTTGAAGAGACGCGTTAATAATATTTTCTGACAGAACTGAAATGACCTACACAACTTCAAAATTACTTCTTGGCAACTGTAAAGGAAATAATGCAGGCTTATCTCATAGAGAATGTCAGAAATTAGTTATTTTTTTGTTCATGTAAATGAACAACATTGTAAACATTTATTGACAAAGCACAAAGACTTCTAAAAACGTCCTGGAAGATCTGAAAAATCTAGAAATGGACATTTTATTTGTTCAAAAAATGTATTTGAGATCCCCTCTAGATATAGCCCTGAAAATTAAGGGCGATCTTTTGAGAAAATCATAACATACATACATACATCCAAATATTAAGAACACGAGAATGTTTCCAAAACTAATCCAATTATTTATTGAAAAAGTTTCAATTAACTGAGAACTTCAAATAGACAAAAGGAAGAAGCCCAAAGACAAAGGAAGACAAGATGAAGTACAAAAATAAGAAGAACAGGGCCAGCTCTATTTATTTTTAATTTCAGTGAGAAACTGTAGTCTCTGAGGAACAAACCAGACTCTAGAAAATCTTAGAACCTTAGAACATTAGGTGGTTGGAAAGTCAATAAGTCCAATAGAGATTGTGGCTCTTAGAAAATATAGTTTTAGGGAACCAGCGGAATCCTTCACTATGAATTCCTTCTTTATGGAAAATATGTCAAAACTATTAACACCAGCTCAGAAAGTTTTATACAGGGTTTAAGGTTTTCATATCACCTCTCAAAGTCCGGTACAGTATTTTTTTACACGCTGTATATTCGGACATCCTAACTATCATTACCTAAGTTCTCAGCATATTCCACAAACACTATATTTTTTGGAGAAAAGGCTCATAAGCTTGGTTCTTGCATCTGAAAGCTGGTTAAATCTATTACACGAATTTTTATGCTCCTAGATGATGTCAGATATGAACAAAATGACGCATAATCCAATTTACACAATATAGCAGGGTTTTGTTTGGGTCTGCCAGCAAAGTAAATATTTTTTGTTGTTCTTAAGTCGTCATTTTAATTAGGATGCATTTTTCTTTTTTTTTTCCATTATGTAACGATTCAAGACTGTATTGATTTTTCTCGCATCAAGTAACTGAAAACCTAATTGTTATTATTGCTTAATTTTCCAATAATTGCGACTCTTTTATTGCCAGTAATTAACAGAAATGCAACAGATAATTCCGGTATTGCGACCTGCATCTGAAATAACAATCCAAAAAAAAAATAACATGGGAGTTACCTTCGCCTTTTAAGGCACATCTTGTTAATTATTATATTATATACCATGCTAAAAATTAAATTGGTTTTCCTTATATCAACAAATTAATTAATATGACTTTAAAGATAAGATATTATATTAATTGAACTGTCAGAGGCTGGCAAATTAATAAATATATGAATACTGAAAATAAATAATTAATCGAAGCTGACCGAATTTTATTTCCATTGGATTGCATTTTGATATTTCGTCGGTCTCATGACTTAAGGCCCTATATCGTTTTTCACAAGAGAGCAATTAAAAGAAAACTAATATCTTTACGCCAACAAAATTCAAAGAACTATACGGATTTTCGGTGTCTTTTTTTTTCAATTATCAACAACAAACCATGTAAGTTTTTTGTCAAATACCACATTTCAAAATAGTAATTAAAGTTTGTGTCTCGAGATTCGCCTTTATAATGTAAAAAAACTGTCCATATTTCAAGATAGGGCCATTTGTTTTCTCAATTTTTTAACGAAATGAACTGATTTCAAGATAAGACCCTTGGCTAAAAAATAGTATACACTAAATGCAACATATCTATGAACTTAACTCATTTTGGCCCGACGATTTAACTTTATTCTCAATCATGACACACATGTAGAGATATAATTATCAATATCTATTTTGCTTTGTCAATAAATGTAAGAACATTTTGGACAATAAAACAAGTTTTGAATTCCAGTAAAACTCGGCACTTTTCTTTCTTCTGAAAAAATGTTCTCTGTGAACCATAAATTATCAGCTTAACCTTTTCAAAAAGTCGTGGAATGTATACTAGAAGTGTTAATGTGGGTAGCATAGACAACACAAATCAATCCGTAAAGACATGCCAGGGCAATTTAATGGCATGGTCTATTATAACATTAAATCTTTGACTTGCAAAAATACTGAATATTTATTGCAATCACGTTTTTTGTTTAGAATAGGTACTGTTTTTTGTTTAGAATAGGTACTGCAAATTCATGCAGTATTTAACAAAAAAGGTCTCATGTTTAATTTTATAGAAAGTAAAGTTCCTTATCACTTTGTTTCTGAGAACAAATTGCAATAATGTCACTAACCTCAGTTAAAAACCATTTTATTTTGTTAGCCAGATTCATGTGTGTTATTTAATATAAGCTACAAAATTGAACATGTTCTATGGGTACTCCCACATTACCGTAATATGGTCTGGTGTGGGTACTATTTAAACATATTACGCAAAACGGACAGAAAGGTTATAATTATTATGATCAATTATTAGGTGGAATATTGTCGATATTCTTTGTAAGTTTTGATCGATTTTAGTAGTTTTGTGTGAGAAATAGAATTAATACATTCTGGTACTTAAAATGTATCATAAATCCACTATTGGCATATTATTGATAATAAGAATCTTGCACCAACCTTACAACACAACATACATGAAAAAACCAAGGAAAAAAAAAACACTAAAAGAGTTATATCTGAAATAAATAGCAAACCTGATAGGGCAGAATGGCGCTCAAAACCAAAACCAAGTTGTAGACAGTCTAATAGAAAAATGAAGAAACTATGCTTACTTACCTGTTATGTTGTAATAATAGGAACCTTATAAAGGTAATTGGTATGTAGTAGGACAAGGACATACAAAACAAAACATCTTTTTAGGTCTCTATCAAAGCGATTTACAAATTATTAAAGGGAAATAGAAACTCCCAAAAATAATCTACAATCTATGTGCTAGAAGTCTTCCTCTATTTACTCCAACCCAACGAAGCTTTTGGAAACATGTGAGAGCCAAATACGGCTGTCAAAGTCTTATGTTGATTTGACTGATTGATTGATTTTAATCTTACAAGTAATTTTATGATAATTTTGCCTCCTCTAGAAACTGTACAGATTTGTAAATAGTCTTGATTAGAACCTTAAATTTCGGGAATGGATATTTAAAAAAAAAAAAGTAGATATTTTGTCTGGTCCAATCCAAATTGAACATACCTACTAACTACACTTGCCTCGAAAACACACTATAAAACACCTTACAAATACAGACACAATAAAAACGCGAAAAATACCTGAAAAAAAAAAGGTTTGCCTAGAAGGCCCATTCACACACATATCAGTGGCATCTGTAATGTTTATTGGTGGTGTCTATTCATAGATGCCAGTGTCAGTGCAGTACACGTCAGTATTATTTTCAGCTTACAGTACTAAGCTTCAGTAAAAAATCAAAAAATATCATCAGTCACTTTATTCTAGCTTCCATGACAGAAACCTTTGATAACGTCTCTGTTTATATGTGTTTATTCGAAATTGAGGCAAACATATTTTTCATCACTGATACTGATAAGTTACTGATGTGCGTGAATGAACCCTGAAGGGAAAAATCATGCCCTCAAAATATGATTTCTTTCCATTATGGCAAATGTAGAAAAAAAAGTAAAAAAATGTAGTATCACCCAGTTGCTGCACGCACATAAACATTCAAAACCTTGTTCAAAACTAATCAACTCAATCATTAACCAATCATTTATGTCATACGAATTTGAAAATTCAATATAATTTGACAGAAATATATAAATTTAACAACTTTTGGATCAATTTTGCTCGCCAAAAAAAAAAAAAAAAACGGGATAAGCCATTTTTAGCATAATATTCAATTCGTAATAACTTATTTGAATTATTTTACTTTTTGAATTAGATTTTAGGTATTTAAATAAAAGCCCACGTCCCTAATTTTTTTGAAGGAATGCATTTCTCAAGTAATATACAGGGTGAATAAACTGATGCACAAGTACAAAGTCGGATGTTTGTCATATTGGCAATATTTCTTTTTTCAGATTTCAGTATAGGCGATCAGTAAGTTAATATCAATATCTCCAGACGTATTGGCCAATTTTTTGAAAAGTGCCCTTTGGGAGCAGATACACTACTACTAAACAACAAAATTTTGTAAGCATGTTTGAAGGGCCGTAGCTTGAAAACTGTTGTATCAATTTCGAACATTGCAGGTTTCAAATTTTTTTTAAGGAGTTCCACGACACTTTTACAGTGAGGGAGAACGTTTCACAATCCATTAAACCGTAAGCCATATCGTTTCAACATAGTGGTGCTAAAATGGATCTTCAGGAGGCTCTAATGCAAAAACGAAAAAATTGTCCCCAGATATTGGTCCAAAGTATCACCTAACCAATTTTCAAAAAAAAACGAGGCATACAGACCAATTTGAATAGGTTTAAAACGAGAATCCTACGCAATCCTACTGGAATCCCACAATATCCTACTAGAATCCCACAGAATTCTACTGGAATCCAATGGAATTTCTTGATGAATCCCACTGGAATCCCACAGAATTCCACATGCTTGTACATTATAATTGCAAGGTGGTTTATCAATCAAGAACAATTATCATAATCAGCCTAATTTGAGGTTTATGATTTTCTCGACCCCTGTATGTGAACAGGGCCATCTGCATAAAAAGCAAGCAAGTCATGGAACCCCTAAACAAAATACGCTTCAGAAACCTGCAAAGCTGTTCGAAATCGATACAATCGTTTTCAATCTCCAGCCCTTTAAAGATTGTGCTCACAAGATTTTGTCAACGTTGTTGTTTAGTAGTGTATCTGCTGCCAAAGGGCACATATCGCAAAACTGGCCAATACTCGTCCCGTTTTTTTTTTTGGTGAGCAGTTTAGCTTTGAAATTCAAATATTTAGTTTACACAGGTTATCCCAGATCGAAACCATTTTTTTTTTTAACACCAGGAGATTTCTTATTGAGTAGGCTATATTTATGATACTCCTCCTACTCATAGGTAAATTATCAAATACCTTTCTATCCCAAAAATTCACTAAAGCAAACCCATTTCTGATAATAACTGAGATAATTACAAGTAAATGGTACTGATTGGGTAATATAAGCTAGCCATAAGTAGTAGGTTGATAAGTTTATATTCTTGACACTATAATGCATGACATTTATGCTTCAGTTATTTCTCGAGGGAAATAATTGATGCAATTAAATTATTACAAAATATTTATTGTGCATAATTATGAAACATTTTCTAAACTTATGTCATAGGATAGAAAAATGGGATTAAGTTGCCATAAATAAATAGTGTACATTAACAAACCTATACAAAATACAATGTCCTCTAAGATAAACCTTTGTTGTAAGAACAGGTCGTGTTTATTATATTGTAAATAGTGGAAAAATAAAAATATACTTGGTACATACAGAGGTATTAAACCTCTAGGTGCCAACAAAATAAATTTTTAGATACAAAATGCATACAACTTACAATCAACCATTCGCAATACAAACAATTCTCAAAAATTAGTTTCAGGAATATAATGTCCCTCGTAATTTCCTAAATTATTTCCAATAATCAAAACTGGTGGATCTAGGGTACCCTTAGGAGCTTTAAATTTGAAATTTTCTATTTGTCTGGAAATATTTTGGGAAAAATTATGAATTCTTTCTACAAAAATCCCTATCCACATTGTTTAATGTCTATTTCCTAAACTAACTCGATAAGGCCCTTTGTGATTCCTACCAGCAACTGGGGAAACTATTCAAAAATTTTCCAAATAAATAATAAATAAATAAAATTAAGTACTTACCAGAGGATGCTGGTGTCGGTGCCGGAATAGCAGGCTGTAGGGTTTTAGGCCTAGCTCCATGCAGAAGTCCGATTTTACTTGGAGGCCTAATGCCGCTTTTATTGGTGGCAACACTCGCTTTTGAAGATGCTACACTGTTCAGAGACGTAGCACTGGCACTTATTGCTGCCGACACTAGCAGATTTGTTGGTTTTTCACATTCCAACATTGGTAATGAGGTTGTAGAGTCCGAAGGTTTTTCAGCTGGTACGGTCGTTTCTTGAGGGTCACCCTCGGTCTTCTGTTGAGGGTCACCCTCGGTCTTCTGTTGAGGGTCACCCTCGGTCTTCTGTTGAGAGTCACTCATTGTCGTGGCACCACTCTGAAAAAATAGGAATCGATTAAACAATTAGTCGATATTTGAATCTATGTACCTAGTGGTTGAAAAAAATAGGAAAATGCAATGGTTTCAAGTAGTTGAAAGATGGATGAAAATATGAAATTTAGGCTTTGGGCAGTTCTTGAAAAATTGAGAAAAAAAACGAGAAGTTTATTTTATTATGAAATGTTTTTCGACTGAAAAACTCTTGATAGTGGACTTCAAATTGGACATTTAGTCAAAGTCAAAGTCAAAAAAATGCTTTATTGTCTAAGAACAAAATTCTCGTTGACAAAGCTGTAAAAGGGGAAAAAAAAAACATTATACAAAAATAATTCCAAGGCCATAGAGTACCAAGATTGAAATAATCAAAATAAAAATACAATACAAGGTCAGACTAAAACAATAAAATCATTTAAACAGTCATTAAAACAAAAGATCACTTTAAAAATCAACATAAATATAAACATAAATCAACATAAATACAAAAACATGTTCATTCTAAAATATAAAATACAAAATATCAAAATTGCACAAACGTAAAGTCAACAGACATAGAAGTCATTAAATAAAACTACAAATTATATTCAGACAGTCACAAGAAAGCATCTTGGAAAAATTCTTCTGTGCTATAGTAGGCCTTTGATAATAGAAGCCTCTTAAGATGTACTCTAAATTTTTTACCAGATACTATCTGTCTCAGATGCAGTGGCAGATGGTTAAAGATCTTTTTACTTTGATAGATTATTGAGTTTTTTGTTTGTGTGGAGGAAGGGATAGGAAGGTTCACATTGTGTGTTTGTCGAGTGGTATGTACAGATGAAAATTCGTGTATGTTTTCCTTAAACATTTTATGAACGAGACATAAAGTCTCTAGTAAAAAAATACTAGGAAATGTAAGCAATTTATGACGCAAAAACAATGGTCTACATGAGTCTCGTAATCCTATCTTAAACATATACCTTACCGCCCTCTTTTGCAACACAAACAACATATTAAAGAGAGACAATGAACAAAAACCCCAGAAACATATTCCATACCGCAAATGGGATTCAACGAGAGCAAAGTATGCACTTTTTGTTGTCCCAAGATCTAGCTTACTCGATATTACTCTGATTGCATAACATCCTGATGACACCTTTTTGCTCACGTATGTTAAGTGAGGCTCAAATTTTAGTCTATCGTCTATGTATACTCCTAAATACTTACTCGATTTTTGACTGGCAACAGTATCTGCCCCTAAGGTAATTCCCTCAAAACCTGTAAGTCTATCGTCTATGTATACTCCTAAATACTTACTCGATTTTTGACTGGCAACAGTATCTGCCCCTAAGGTAATTCCCTCAAAACCACATTTAAATGTTAACACATTTGTCTTCGACACATTAAAAGTTAAACAATTCGCATCAGTCCATTCTTTTACCTTAACTAAATCATTATTGATATCCGATTTAAGCTGTTCTACATCCTTATTTACCCAGAGAATCGTGGCATCATCAGCAAACAGTGTAAATACCCCAACTATATCAATGCTAGACAGATCGTTGATGTACAATAAAAATAATAGAGGTCCCAAAACAGATCCTTGTGGAACTCCTGCACTTATAGCTAGTTGTTCTGAATCAACACCATCAAAAGTAACTCTCTGTGCCCGTTCAGAAAAGTAGGACTCAAACCACTTTAGAGCTACCCCCCTCACCCCATAGGCTTCCAGCTTACATAACATTATTTTATGATTGACACAGGCAAAGGCCTTTGACAAATCACAAAAAACCGCTGCTGCGACATCACCGTTATTTAATCCCAAATATAGTTTCTCCAAAAATGCGAAAATTGCATCATTTGTGCCACATGACTCCTGAAATCCAAACTGTTCACAACAGAGAATACTATGTTTTTTAAGAAAACTCATTAAACGCGCCTTGACTAGCTTTTCTATTACTTTAGACATTGTAGGCAACAATGAGATTGGCCTAAAATTTGAGGGTGTATCGCAGTCACCACCCTTGTGAAGAGGTAAGACCTTTGCAAGTTTCAGACAGGAAGGGAAAATCCCTGATTGAAAGGACTGATTCACAGAATCAGCAAACACCTCTAGAACCGATTCGGGCAAATGCGAAAAGACCTTCAGCGTAATCTCATCCCATCCCGCAGAATTTTTATTTTTAATATCTTTTAAGGTGTCTCTGATTTCTTGTGTTGTAGTAGGTTTAAAGAAAAAAGACTCGGATACGCTTATGTGACTTAGATATTCTCTAGGGTTAGTCCCAGAACTAATTTTGCTAGAAAGAGAAGCCGCAATCGAACAATAAAACTTATTAATTTCCATGGCAGTCAAATTTGAGTCCATTGGTGAAGTATTCTTTTTTCCTCTTAAGTTATTAACAATTCTCCATGATTCCTTTTGTTTGTTGCCAGCCATCTCTATCCTATTTCTAAAATATAATTGCTTAGCGGTTTTAACTACTTGCCTATATATTTTACGATATTTGTTGAAAAAAAGCATAAAACCATCATTCCCCAAATAAAACTTCCTAATGTAATGCAAAGAACGCATATTTCTAGCCGATACTCTTATACCTTTTGTAATCCACAGCTTTTTACTCTTACACTTCCTGGTTCTAAGCGGAAAAGATCTATAAAAAACACTCAACAAAGCAGAATGCAACTCCGACAAAGAATTCTCACATCTACCAATCTCGGTCCAGTCTGTATGCTCGCAGAGTCTCAAAAATGTCTCAAAGTTACCTGTAGAGTAAAGTCGTTTGTACTCTTTTGGCAGTTTAACTGTGCCATAGTCACATTCCACCTCCAGTCCACACACAACCGCCTCATGATCGGAAAGACCCGCACCAACTGTTGAACAACTCACTCTCCCTTCATCAGAATTTGTACAAATATAATCCAACAATGTCGCTGAATTCGCAGTAATTCTAGTGGGTTCCTTTACATGTACTTTTAAATTAATAGAGGAGAGTAAGCCATTCAAAGTCTGCACTGAAGCCGATCCTGTATCTAAAAAGTTAATATTTAAATCTCCTGTCAATATTATTAGGGCATTCAAAGGTAGGCTTGTTAAAAGTTTTTCCAATCTGGCAAAAAACGCATCAACATTGCTTGAAGGAGGTCTATAGATACACAAAACATAAAACAAAGGTCGCAAACAACACACAATTGAAAATTCGAATTCCTTTTCAATTATTAAACTATTATATCTATCTACATTGATTATTTTAAATACTTCAAACAATCTCTGCTGTACCATTATGAATATTTGGGGGCCTTGATGAAAAGTCTAAAAAAATTGATATTGTTTTGGGAAAACTAGCTCAAGGGACCAGGCCCGACAAGAGGGGTGGGGGGCAAACGGGATAAATTCCCGGGGACCGTGAGCACTGGGGGTCCAGGCGCGTTCATAATTACCTTATTTAAAATAAAAAATCTATTTGGAAGACCAAAAAAAAGGGCGCCCGTTATAATTTTTCACCAGGACCCGACACTCGGCTCTCAGCGGTCCTGCAAGAGACACATCTCCACTTGTATCAGTGTAATCTTTGATATTCGTATTTTTTGTCATAAACTGCATCCAAAGATCCTTATCAAATTTTATTGTTAAGCCTAGTACTCATAACCGCGAAATTCGCTCTTTTTTGACATTGCTTCGACAATTTGACGTTTTATGCGTGAATCAAATGTCAAAGTGTCCAAGCAATGTTAAAAAAGAGCGAATTTCGCGGTTATGAGTACTAGGCGTTAGACCTTTAATTAGTCATTACCCATTTTTACCTATATGGCGTTGCGGCCAAGTTTTCAATATGGCGTCGCGGTCAAGCGAGTTTGTTTTGAATAAGTGTTTTTCATGGGAATTTGAGTTCAATTATTCTATAAAATATTAATTGTTGACTAGGTACATGACCCAAAATAGATATTTTTTGTGCAAGTGTTAGTGTTGTAGAATGCCGGAGAAGTATCTAGTTGTGGAAGCCGCCGAGAAAGGGACAATGCGTCTTTCTACAGGGTCCCAAGCGTGACCAGTTCAGTATATTTTCCCCATTTAAATGAACTATCAGGAAAAAGAACATGGTTAGCGACAATCAAACGGAACGATCTTTCACAATCTAAACTAGCATTAGTAGCAAACCAAAAAGTTTGTAGTAAGCATTCTATCACAGGTAAAAAATAAATGAATGCTATTTTGCATTATATTTTCAATCATCATATGGATTTATAATGGAATTAAGTAATTTAGAAGATGTGGATATTCCTGACTGGAGACCAAGTTCTCGCAAATATTGACTCTGCATAATGATAATATCTTGATGTATTCTCAACAGATTTACCCCTCACAAATCTCGTCACAAATACACCTTAAAGCACATAAAACTGTAAAACTCCGAACAAACAGCAGACAGCACATGATTACAAAATGAAGTTTGGCCGCCACACAATCTTGAATGTTGCAGAAAACTTTGTGTTTTATAAGAAAAAAATTTTCGGCTTCCCATGCGACTCTTGCAAAAAGGTCATTTGTGCAGAATGCACTGGGGCACTAGCAGGGGAAAACCGGTTGATTCTGAGCCCCTTTAGAACAACTTGTTTTTTTTGTCCAAGCTGTATAGATGTGATTAAAAAGTTAAAAAATAGTGCAAGCATCTCAAAGAAGAGCTTAAAAAAAACTCAACAACAAGGGCTTGAGACAACAAAAAAACTGGAAAAGCTGAAGTGTGAGAATCTTTAAAAAATTCTATGGATAGGAGAAGAGCTGAGAACGCGGCTATAAAAGAAAAAATTACAGAAATTGAGAATGAAGTTAAACAAGTTCACCAAAAAATACCTTGAGAAAAGGGTGGATACAATGAAAACAAGCACAGGAGGAGGCACAGCGGAATCAGAAGTGGAGCTCACTTCCTTCGAAATGAAAAATAGAGAAAGGAGAGCAAACAACATTTTGTTTTTTGGGGTGGACAAATCCATGAAGACAGACAGACAGAGAAAAAAGTGAG